GGGTTGAAGGCACGAAACGAAGAGGGGGCCTTGGGGGGTAAAGGGGGGGGGGACTAGGAATGAAGAGGGGGCACTTGAGAATTTGGAAAAGGAGGGGAGAGAAGGGCAGAAGAAGTCACAGTTTGACAGGTTGGGGACCGAAGAATTTGATGAGGGTAAGCACGACAGTACGGCTGAAGGGGAACCGGGGAGGGTTAGGGGGAAGTCGGGGGAGGGGGTGCAGGGGGGGAGGTTAAAGATGCAAAATGGCCTCGCCCTACGACTCAAAGTGCCGACATTTTGAACATATCTGAACATCGGAATGGTCCAAATACGTCCAAAATGCTGGCATTTGGCCAGTGGTGCCTCAAGGCCCTGTATCTGGGGCCTTGCTGCACCAGGCACCAATAGGGAAAGGGGGCTTTGCCATGCCACTCACCAACAATCCGAAAGACAAAAATTATGGTGGTGTATGTTTGTGTGTTCTAGCAGAGGATTCGTTCTCACTTTGCACATTTGGTGAGTAGTGCGGCAAGCCCCACGAACAGAATCCTCAAAAGGTCGACAAAGGAAAGAATGAAACGACAAAAAGAAAAGAAAATGAAAACGGCGTTGAGTTACTGGGCCTCGACGCACAACCAATGGGATTTGGGAATTTGAAGGGTATATGGATTTTCCGAAGGTCAAATCAAATATAATTTGATTCATCCGGAATAGGTGTAATTACTCAAATAAAAACAGCCTCGCTGGTTGTCGACAAAAAAAAATCATCACCAAAAGTGTAAAATGAGAATGTATCCCCCCTAAGAACGTGGAAAGATGCAACCACCATTTTTTTTGTGTTTTTCATAGATGGTGGGTAGTGCACCGAGGCCCATAATGACATGCCATGTTAGTTCGCGTTTTAGAATGGTCGTGCAGCCTGTAGTTTCCTTGGCCGGCGCTTTTTCGGTAGTGTTTCCCGGCACACCATTATAGAGGCTGGAAAACATGCTGCTTCGAACAGCCCATCTCACAGATGGGCAGACTCCGGTCGGGATGGGTCGTGACGTAGCGTTACAACCAACCGGAAGAACTTTAATAGATGTATAGCACATATAGTAGATAGTAGATATAGCGGTATTAGTAGTAGCAGCAGCAGGAGGAGGAGGAAACAAAAAGAGAAAAGGAAGCCGAGAAATAATCTATCATCCTCCAACCAAACTAGATGGTCCATGTGTGATCATTGAGAAGTAATAGTAGCGATAGTCGTGGTGGCAGTATTTATAGGAGTGGAAACAGAAAGGAGAAGCGAAAGACATCTGTCATCCTTCAGCCGGACTGGATGTTGCATGCCTGACTACTGAGAGGTACACCACAGTCATGTATCAACATACGCCAGCTACCAGAAGTAGATGGAGGAGAAGGAGAGTGACAAGAAAAGACCAGCAGTTCTTGGGATGGGCCATGTGCCAACCTGATGCCCAGCTGTCTTGTTCAGCAGCATGCATGCCACGAGAAGCTTCCAGGGATCCTTGTGCAGTTTTTCTTGGATAAGCCCAAAAGGAGAGGTGGGTGGTGACCAGCAAGGGTCCACAACATGAGCCTGAACTCTCTTGGCACTATTTACACCACAGCCAGATCCTCCTCTGCATGAATTGGGCACCTCTCTCGGAAGCCTTTTCTTGAACGATCGATCAGTGCGCTGCACATCATCAGCAATGTTTGGAGACGCTGCACTAACTGCAGCAGCTGAAGCCGGTGAGCTTTCGTCCACACGAGCAGCAGTATCTTCACCTTTGCCAGTTGTTATGCTGGAGCTGGATGGACCAGAGGCGGTTGCAGCTTTGGCTAATTTGCATGGTGAGATTGCCAGACTGACATTTGCCGCATTCATGGGCGGCTGAGGTGTTGTCGTGACCATTTCTGGGGATATCGGCATCCTTATGCCATTTGGAGAGCAACAAAGGACAGCCCCACTTGCTCGAGGAGGAACTTTTGGTTTTCTCCTGGGAGTCGTGGAGGGGGAGGTCCTGGTCATCGCCTGAATGTCAAAAATATTGTTCATATGCAAGCATTCCACACCGTTCACAGCATCCAAGAATCTCGGAATGGTGTTCACGGAACAGGGACAATCATCCACTGTGGCACCAAAACTGGGACTTTGACTTCCAGATCCTGGAGGGGCAACCGCTGCAGCCAGCATCACGTTTTCGTCTTGAGGGCCCCTACTGGTGGTTTTCCCAATGCTTGGACAAGTATCTGACCCAGTCTTAGATCTGATCAATCCACCCATGATGGTCCCAGATCGTGTTGTTGACATCATTGTTGACAATGCAATCTGTGATCGCTTCCTCTTGACTCGTCTTTCCTTTGCCGAGTCAGCCCCTAGTGTTCCAAGAATCCAGACAACATGTTGAACACACAGGGAAGAGTCATTCTGACTTGATCCAGACAGGTAAGTCTGCCTCAGTATCTTTTTACTTTTGGGCGTGGGGAAAGGGGGTTGAAAACAGCACACACACACACACACACACACACACACACACGCCCCTTCAGTGGGCCTTGCTCCATTCAGGGTACAACAGTATCTTTGTCCTTTTGGATGCGGGGAAAGGGGGTTGAAAACAACACACACACACACTCACACACACACACACACACACACACACACACACACACACACACACGTGTGGTTGGCCTTGCACCATTCAGAATACAAGAATGAAACAGCTGTTTTGTCAAAACATTGCAATCATTTACAATATGACATAAAACGTGATAGAAGACTGTAAGGTAAGGGTGATTGTACTCATCCGGATTGAAATGGGGTTGTTCTGGTGACAGTCTATAACACACACACACACACACACACACACACACACACACACACACACACACACACACACACACACACACACACACACACACACACACACACACACACACACACACACACACACGCGCACACACACACACACACACACACACACACACACACACATGCACACACACACACACACATGCTATGAGCCTCTCAGTTCAGCACCAATGAGCGCACACAATCACACACCATGCACAAATGAGATCGCACAAAGTTCACACTGGATTCCAGATAGACGAAGACCAGGTAAGCGCAGCTTTAGAATTCCAACAAATTATCATATGAGCAATTAAGAGTTCCAGCCACAAGCGCTCAACAGCGCAGATCCACGTAACCAATATCTACTCTCAGGTGAGAGTCTCTCCCACTGCTCTTCTCTCATCTCTCATGGTCTTCTCTCTGTCTTCTACCTCCCTGTGTCTTCTCTCCCTACTTGCATGCACTCACACTCTCTACTACTCAAGGACCAACCCTGAATACACCCACTGCTGACTCTACTAACCCCTCTGAGGTCTACTACTAAGCACTGGCACAGCTATGGCAGCTTTCCCTCTGCCAGCGCTGGGGCAGCTATGCCTGCTCCCTCTCTCTCCCTCACAGCACAGCCTCCTGGCTCAGCGCTTTGCTCCTCCCAATAGCGCACAAGTGCACCAGCAGGTCCAGCACTTCCACACTTCATGCGAATGAGCAATCTGCCTGAATGAGGAGGCTTGCCAGTCCTTATATTGTCTTGGACTGAGCTTCAACTCGTCCCAGCCTCTGCTTCTTGTAGCTTGACTTGGCAGTGGTACCACATCCCCACGGCCTGTTTGCTTCAGAATGTCAGGGCCTGGTACTTTTCCCGAATTTTCATTGGTGTGCTGGTGCTTGGGCCTGTGAGTCACGACTTTTCACTTGTGGAACTTGACTTTTGACTGTGGATTGTGACTCCTGCCTCTGGGACATGACTTTTGCCTGGGGAAGTGTCCTTTGCCCGTGGGAGGTGACTTTTCAATACGACTTCTCATTATGAGACGTGACTTTTGCTTAAAGAATGCAACCTTTACCCCTGGGATGTGACTGCTTACCGGGTGCCTGTTGGACGTCACTCCTAAGGTACCCAACTGTGACTTCTCTGAAACTGACCGTCTTGGCCTAAGACCTTGACCCTGAAATCCGAATTTGTGGTATGAATCGTGGAAGGCCTTTTGAAACGGTTTTCACCTTTCGTAGACACAGATGCGGGCACCAGGATTCGATCCCCAGACCTCACTTTGCCCATGTACAGTATCGAGTCGACCCCCGAGTGTTTGAACCCGTGACCTGTGTTTTGGTAGTTGTTTGTCGTCTGTCGTAGGTCTGCGCAGTGGTAGGGGTTCGATCTGTAGGTCTGTCAATTAAGAGTCACAGCTCTGTAGAGGTCGTACCTGTAAGTACTCTGAAAGGTCAAGCTCGTAGCTGCTACAGTCCTGAAAGTCAAGGTCGTAGCTGCTACAGTACTCGAAAGGCCAAGTCTACAGACTTCCGGAAGGTCTGGAAGTGGCCTTTCGAAATTGCCTCATGTTTAGTCAGAGGCAAGTGGGCAAGTGGTGAGCCGAACTGCGTTACGTCGGCAGTGCGACTGCATTGAGTTGGCAGTGCAAACCCATGCAGTCAGCGGTACCGGTCCATCCAGTCCCACTGCAGTCAAGCAAGTACCATGAGGGACTGTGTGCACCATGGGCCGATGGAAAGGGGCAGACCAACGAGTTACAGAAGTATAAATCAAGAGGCAGCGCCCAGCTATTCATTCATTCGCTGCGTAAGCCATGCGGAAGCGCTGCTACAACGTCTTGTGCGAAGGTGGTCTGCAGGATGCCCGAGGACGAAGTGGGCTGAAGGGAGATCGTAGCCATAGTCAGTAGTGGTAGGGCGGCCATAGCTGCTGTAGGAGGAAGTTAGACTTAGCGTGCGTGTGTGGTGGTATTCAGGGTGATCCAGAGTGAGCGTGTGTGAACAGTGGAGTTGGACACAGTGACGAAGGTTGGGATGTTTAGGCGCCGATGCGCCATAGGCTGTTGAAATGAACTTGCATCTGAGCTGTGTTCTTGATTTCCATATCTCTAAGCTTTGAGTGGGCGCCCGGCGCCAGTGTGAATCTCCATCAGTTTGCACGTATGCGAACTGGAAGTGAAAGCGAGTCTGATTGCATTGGTATCGGAGCTGGTTCCTATTACCCCACGCGCCATCGCCGTTGCCAGCAGGAAGGTGACACGCGCCAGTTGGGCACCATAGCTGGAGCTGCGGCAGTGAGGGAGGAAGGTCCGCCATAGCTGCGGTGTGGAGGAAAGTGGCGCGTACCTGCAAAGAAGAGAACGACGAAATGTGTGTGTGTGTGTGTGTGTGTGTGTGTG